TTTGAATTTTCCTCATTTTTAAGAGGCATTGACTAAAGGAGTAAATAGACAAAAATGCCCTCCACCCATCCCTACCCATCATACCCATCACTGGCCCAACACCCACCGCCGCTCCAGCACCCACCATTGCCGCCGCCAACCCCACCGCCANGAAGGGAAGAAGAAGAAGAAGAGGCAGAAGGTGATTCTGTCACAGATTTGTTTAGATCTAGAAGAAAAATGGAGGAAAAGAAGAAGAAGAAGATAGTGATGAGAAGAAGAAGAGGGGGATCCGTATGGATCGGAGAAACATCAGGGGAAGAAGAAGAAGAAGAAGAAAAAGAAGGAGGAGGAGGAGGATCGGTGAAAGAGAGATGAAAAAGAATGGAAGAAACCAGGGAAAAAGAGAAAGAATGGAAGAGGAAAAAAGAAAAAGATAAGAGGAAGGAGTCAACGGAAGGAAAGAATGGAAGAAAAAAAAGAGAAAGAAAGAAGAGGAGGAGGGTAGTATTGGAAGAATGGTAAAAAATAAGTAGAATGGGAACATCATTCCCGGACGAAAAAAAACGTAGAGTGGGAACATCATTCCCGGACGGAGGGAGTAACAAACACAACATCCAAACAAGCTGAGTGTGTTAAGTTTAGATAAATCAACAAATAAACATGAAACTTTAGTTATTGCATACTGTATGTTGTAATGATCATGTTACTGACAACATCTCCCTAGTGAAAATGGGCTCAGACTAATGAACCTTCAAACTCCAAAGATTTGTGTGTATGTGTGTGTTCCTTTTCCTGGTAAATCTACTGCTCTCACATATTTTACCGTGCTTTATATATACGGAGTAAGAATTACAGACATGGATCTCCCATGACAAGCTCAACATTGAAGGAAAGTTCAAGTACTGAAGTTTACAAACAACCCAGTATGGTCTCACCCACAAGTGGGATTTGGGGACAGTGGGTGTTTGACTTTATCCCTTTTCCATACCCATATATTTAGAGAGGCTGTTCTCAAGTGACCATTGCCTCAAAGTTCAAGTACTGAAATTCAATGTGTTGTAATTGCAAATATCTATTTCTTCTTTGCCATATAGCCATCTCTATCAGACTACATCAGCATTGATTTTTCCATTCTGGATATCTGTTATTAGTGTTTATCCATTAATTATTATTTTTATTATTGGACTTTTCTTATTTTTGATCCCACGACTATTATGCCATTCTCACTTTTAGTCTATGCCTTTTAGTTTTTTGCTTTTGGTGCTCTAATATGGATTTGTTGCCACCATTGTTGAGGTTAAGAATCGTGTTTGCAGGGGTTTGCAACCATGCCTTCCACTTCCATTGTATCAGCAGATGGCTCAAGACACGTCAAGTTTGCCCCTTAGGTAGGCTTTTTTCCCCCTCTATGTTTCAGTCCAATGGGGTCTTTTGTATTTGATTCCTATATACAATGCCCATATTTCAGACAACAGCGAGTGGGAGTTCCAGAAGTACGGGCACTAGAACCTACAGTCTTCGTTGCCCTTTGAGTTTCCACTTGCAAACTGCACGATGAAGAATCAGGGAAAGTGTTATTTGATCCTGACTTTATGCTTTTTGAAAACATATCGATGAAATCTTTCAGTAGTTTATAATTTCCAAATATGTTAAGTATGTTAATCTGAATGGTTTATTTGTTGGGAAAAATGCTGAGAGCTCATTCAAAAATTGATTGTAAATTGCGATTAATCAGTGCACTATGCGTTGTTTGCATTCACATTTGCACGCCATTCATAAGATCCTTGCACGCACACACCATGTACAAATGCTCTAGTTACACTCTTGCCTTGGAGTACTTAACAATACACAAGAGAGATCATTTAAATGATCAAATCATTCACACCATACCACTTGTCCAACCAATGTTCAATTTACGCCGGAAACTATGCAGCATATTTACGCCACTCTATTAGTGTATATGGGTGGTTATAAGGTGTATTGAACGGCTAGCGACAATCGAACCTGAGAGCTTAGACCTCTTCAAATGAAAGTCACACTAGCAAAAAGGTATCAGGTTTGATTGTCGCAGGCTGCAATACAGCTGGTAAGTATGCTTTAGATTAATTTTGAAAAGTAGATTTGTGTTACAAGAGCAAAAGGCTGTTTTAAGTTTCAACTCAATTACGAAGTACTCCCCTCGTTTTTAAAGCAGTTTCTCTTTCATTTTTTTTCGTTTTCCTTAAAACATTTTCATTTTTTGTAAAAAATGACTAATATATCTACCTAAAATCATTGCAATATACTGCTTTCAATTTGTATTTATATAATTAGTTATTTAGATGATTTATCTCTCTTTTTTCTTCGATGTTAAAGATATAATTAGAAGGTCAAACTACTAAAAAAAATCTGGCTCAAGTCAAAACAAGAATGATTTTAGGAAACCGATAGAATAGTACTTTGTAGTAGTTACTAAAAAACTTGATTAAATTCCCAAGATGGTCCTTTTTGATGAAGTGTTTTTCCAAAACAATCATCAATAACTTCTAATTACCTATGAGGTACTTGATAATTGGGATTTATTTCTTAAATAGTCTTTTATAGAAAATGTCACTTAAATGATGATTAATTGAAAGAAATTTTGGTATTTGCATTATCTAAATTTAAGTAAATTTTCAAAATGGTCATTGTTATAAGGCGTGTTTGGATATTGGTGGATCGGCTAGCTTTTAACACTTTGACCAAGAACAGTTGATAAAGGTCTTTAATTAATTGTTTGGCAAATAGTTGTTTTGCTTAGCGGATGGGATCGAACCGCCAATAATCCAAATGCTGGGATGAGTAGCATTTTGATTTAGCAGTTCACTTTTTCCTTTTTTTCATACCCTTAATGAAATTTTTTTATTATTTAGTTGATGTATGGAATATTAAGAAATGGTTTACATACGGAGTATGATTAGTTTTGCATGTTATTTTTCTTTATTTTTTATAGATTTGTAAAACTAGCAAATTTCTTTTTTCCTTTTTTTTCTTATTATGTACTCGATAATTATTTTTTTATTTGTTTTGTTTGTTTATTTTTATTTTTTTTAAATTTGGCCAAACTAACAGATTTTTGCTTTTCTCTAACTATGTGCTCTCGGTGATTTTTTTTGGTATATTGCTACGCACTATGTTTGCTCATTATTTATTTTCATATATAGAGTTTGTTTTTATTAAAATCCAAAAAATTAATTAATTATAATAAAATATTATTTCGTAATTAGCACATTAGGAGGTATGTCCAAAAAATGTAATTTAGATCATAAACACCTATGTTTGCCAAACATTTTTTTGCTAACAGGTAATACAATTCGCCAGTCAAAATAGCCAATTCAATCAATCATTCAAACCAACCAACACAAACAACCAACAGCCAACCGCCAAAGGCTATTTTCCAAACAAGGCCATAGGGTACAATTTAATGTGAAATTAGAATAAACATTGACTATACATAATTCATGGATTATTAAAAATCTGTCAACATGTTATTAAAAATCACATAAGATAAATTTAACAAAAATGTTTTTGTACTAATATATATGCAATACAATTTTTCTATCGATGATCGCAATGTCCAATTTGATTCATAAATAAAAGTTAAACTGCACGAATACTTTGAGACTTGTACATTTTCACTCTTTCATGCTTGTTAAAAAATGATTTTTTTCAGCCGTAATATTTGACAAATTATGAATATACCATTATTCCCTACTAATTAACTCAGAGAAGCATAAAACTTAAACACAACATTTTAAAATAATTGCTACCGAATATATTTAAAAGTAATTTTTTTTGTAAGAATATTTAAAAGTAATATTTATGAAAATGGTACTCATAAATGTTGCAAAAGGCTCATTTTATAGAAATGAAATTTGAGTTTTAGAGGTAAAAGTAAATTAATCTAATTGGATTGCAAAAAGCCAAAAACCTTTGAACTAGAAAATCATTTTAAGGGCGTACTATTCCTTAATAAGCCTTAATTCAAAATTCCGTACAATTAAAGAAATTAGGTTCCCTCCGGGTGGAGGGTATCCATATCTTTCATACCACATCATCTCTCTCCTTAATATCATCGCCAGATTTCACTAATTCCATACTTTTACTACTACAAACGGAATGTACACACGCTAATTTACCAACTTACTACAGCTATTTTAAATAAAATAATCATTTTTAAACTCATAATACTAGAAACGAGGTGTAGTAATTTTTTTAAAAAAATTTAAATATTTAATTTCTTTAATAAATATAGTGTTTTTTAAATACAAATTATAAATATCTAATTAGTACGATTACATCGCGATAAGATTTCATTGATTTAAACGAAGCTACAATACTACATAAAATAAAAAACCAATCCAAAATAATAACAAAAACATAAAAACAAAACTACTACATAAAAGAATATACAATCCAAAACAAAAAACTTAAACATAAGAGTACTAGAAATTTAAAAAAATGCAGAGTAAACTACTTTATCGATTATTTTTTGTACCAAATTGGTAGGGGTGGTGTTACCCTCTTTGCCAAAATGCCACATCAGATTGTTTTGGTACCAAATTGCATTTAAATAGTCCATGCGGTGCACCCTCAAAAAATAAAGCTACAGTTTGATTTTTCCGGTTAATATATTATAAAATTAGACGATATATGTTAAATTTAAATCTAAGTTCAATTTCATTAGATCATTTTTAATACGGTGTTATTTTAAATATATTACATTTATATAATTTTATTAAATATAAAAAATCCTAATTATTAATTGTCAAATTATCACCACGAAAATCATGAAAATAAAAAAATGACTTTCTTTGTAGGAGAGGATTAGCATATACTTCATTAATTCCAATTATATATATTCCCTTGTTTGTGGGAGAGGATTAGAATATAGTACTCCATTTCAATTATATATATATATATATATATATATACACACACACATACACACACACACGTTAATTATCACATATACATACTCAAAAAAAATGAAAGGCGGTTACATTGCGTGCATTGTCTTAATAGATTTCATCGCAGGAGTTTTAGGAATTATGGGAGGGATTCTTCAACTTGTTATGGTACGTAAAAATCTCACAACTAAAATTGCATTGCTAATTATTACTCCCTCCGTCCCTGAGTGTTTGTCCACTTTCATTTTTGCACACCATCCAATGCACTTCTTTAATTCATTTTATCTTATAATTTGTATATTAAAAAATTATAAAAATTATATATTAATAATCTATATGTTAAGACGAATCAAACAAGATCACACAGGACTATTTTTAGGCTTACACATTGAGAGAATTTGATGAGTCAATGTGCTTAGATGAACAGTTCCAAAAGTCAAAAGTGGACAAACACTCAGGGACGGACCAAGTATGATGATTGATCGAAATCATTTTTCAATTTTATTTATTTATATAATAGTACCAACTATAAAACACCGTACCATTACACCACGTGGTTTAGTAAATGTGCATTGTTAGCTTCCATATATGGTTTCAAAATTTGCGTTGTTACTTCTCATGGTGCTGATATTCTTATGTCAATCCCTCAAGACCAAAATACCCTTCAAATATTAGATGAATTGCTCCTCTGCCCCATATAGTTTTGAAAAATGTGCACCAAAACACTCTTTTCTTCCTTTTCTATTGTTTTTCTTGACGTGAATATTATTTTTAACTTTAGGACCCCTTTGGCCTACTATATTTTGGAGGTATGATATGATATAGTTTTGAAATCTGAAGTGTTTAGTCAAAATCACAATTTATTTAATGATAGATGTAAGTTGCCAATCAATTACGGTGGTTAACAGGTTAGGAAGATATATTAAACTCTAATATATATTCCGAATCCGGGACCTAGATTCCTTGGAGAGTTTGACATCTTTAGATTTCAAATTCAAATTTTTTTCCGTCTCAACAAACAGTAAAAAACGGATTATATTCTAATATTGAGAGATATCAGAATTCATATATATAATGAAGCGTTTTTATTAGAAATATATTATACGACTAAAAATTTAATTTTTATGGGATGAATGATACATATATTATTATTATGGGATGAATGATACATATATTATTATTATTATTATTATTATTATTATTATTATTATTATTATTATTATTATTATTATTATTATTATTATTATTATTATTATTATACATAGGTGAAGCACATGAAGAATGTGTCAAATTGCCAGAGAGGCATTGGCAGTGGCGTGGTTACATTGGGCGGAGCTGCGGCGGCGTCTCTCTTTGTGGCGGGGGTCATGCTTCCCTTGCTTTCCTACTTCAGATCAAAACAATGGAACCAAATGTCAACACTCTTTGTCGTCTTGAGATTGTACGTACGTGCATGCATGCATGCATGATCCCCTTTTTTTGTCTGATTATTTTCATTATTCATCTAATAAAAAAATAGTGCTCCGATCCACAATATGACTTTTTAATTCATGATTTGTTTTTCTTTTTTTGAAAATATACGTAAGTGGAAAATGTACGTAATTCATATACTTTCCTTTTATCTCAAAATAAATTTGTCATTTGATTTTTTTTTCCATCGTGATTCCAACGCAATAATTATTAAATACTTTAAGACCTTGTGGTTCATGCGCATCATCAAAGTGACTCTCTTAGATAAAAGGTCACATATTCCAATCCCTTATTACATAGGAGTAATTACCAACTTCTTTCTATTGGATTAATCCTCATTGAAATTTTCAATCCAATTGAATATGTAGTTAAAAGAAATAACTAAAAAAAGATGAATTATATATTTTTTACTATGTGAACATTTAGGGACACAATCACACAAATAACAATTAATTATATTAACATGCAATGTATATTGGAAAAAAAGATTATCATATTCTTCTAGTTTAATTGAAAAAGTCAAACTAGACAAAATAACCTAAGGCTTCGTTTCGTACACGAAATTCAAATTATGGAATTAGAATTGGGGACAACAACTCAAATTCTATTGTTTGACAGTACAAAAATATGTGAATTTAGAATTGGTAGTGCCAAAAATGAATCAGAATTAAAGAATTCAATTCCATCTAAATCAATTCCATAGAAATTCAATTTTCAATTCAATATCCATTATTAATTCTGTGTACCAAGCAGACCTCAAGACATTGAAGGTATATTGTGTACTATAATAAATATCTTATACATATGTGTGCATGCAGCTTCACATTTCTTTTAGCAATGTTCCTATGTGGGTATGGACAAGCATTGAAAAGCACGGTTGAAGGAAAGTGTAAGATCGTACGCCCTGGCGTTTTATTCTCTCAAGGACTGCTTTGCTTTCTCCTCCTAGCCCTCACCATATTTCTTATCAAACCATTGTCAAAGGAGAACAAGACTAGTGAAGAAGCATGATATATATATATATATATATATATATACCCACACACACACATTGTTGACATTACTCTATACTTAACGATTAGTAAGTACAGAGTAATTAGCAACTTGATAATTGTATAATCCCTCTACTACACTCATATTTCTTCTTTTGTTTTAGTTTGAGGTTTTACATTTGGCGTGTAAAAATCTTGTCACAAGTACAATTTAAGGAGAAATGTCTGGTTGGATGATGTTTTATTCGATTTTTTTAAGTGCATCCAACACAATCATTAAATAGATTAAAATAAAAAACCCTACTTTCCCAACAAAGGGTACCTCAGTGCAGAATCGTATCACGCGCATCTCCGGAGGCCTTGTGCACAAAGCCAGCGATATCAAAAGCATCGCTCCCATCGTCCTTCTTGATCACGCCCTGTTTGCATAATGCCTGACTAGTGTTAATCAACTAATTACTAAGCATTGGACATGTCCTCGTTAGCGGAGATAAGAAGCTGACCTTTTCGGTTATAATGCCACTAATCAGACTAGCTGGGGTGACATCAAATGCTGGGTTCCAAACGGAAATGCCAGAGGCGGCAATTTGCTCACCTAGTCCTCCACGTGTATTCAAAAGCTCTTTGGCAGATCTTTCTTCTATCACGATTTGTTCTCCGGAAGGTAAGGATAAATCAACGGAAGTCAGGGGAGCAGCCACGTAGAACGGTATATTGTGATGCATAGCACAAACAGCAAGACTGTAGGTGCCGATCTTGTTCGCAGTATCACCTAAAAGTATGTCATGGAATTCATTCCCTGTGAAAAACTTACCTTTTTTCCAATCAAAAACAGAACTAATATGATTAAGGTACCGTTTGCAGCAACACGGTCAGCTCCAACAATGACAGCATTCACGCGTCCAGCTTTCATCAACGCAGCTGCAGCGGAATCTGCTATAAGTGTGGCAGGGATATTCTCACTAACCAACTCAAATGCGGTCAATCTGGATCCCTGATATTTAAATTGAGAGAAGAAAATCCATTTGGTAAAGAAAATAATGGACTAAACCATTTGCGAAGGCGAGGGGGGCTGGGGGTGCGGGGGTAGGAACCATCAATTTTTCGAACGGAGCACCGTAGGCACCCCGGGTCATGCTATGACATTGGTACCCAATGTCATTTGAACCGTTGTGCTAAAACTTTAGGTAAATAATGGACTAAATCAAAATGACAGACACATTAAATGTTTCTTCTTGCTTTATGTGATGTTTTGGATAGTAAATGCACCACTGGTAATGAAAACAGTCTCTAAAACTCTTTCTAAAACTCGGTTTTTACAGGGGCAAGGTTGCGAACATCTTGATCCCTTTCTGGATTTGTCTTTGTTGTCGCGTAGTCTTTTGATATATTCCTAGGTATGCCTAGGAGTATATATGTAATGCATTGATGAAGGATGTATGCCAAGGAGAAAGATCAAATTATAAAGTACAGTATTTAAAAAACCCTTGTTATTGAACCGTATGTTTCCACCGACCCCAGGTTACTACGTTTGTTGTTGTATACTTGTATTTAACAGTATTTTCCCAGTTTCCTGTTTTTTTAGGTCATTGGGAAATATCTGTTTTCCACTTCCCATTTGAAGTTTGTCTTTCCCACATTTTCTGTCATCATAGGCCACAAGTTACCTGGTTGAAAGGGCGTGTTTCAGTGCAATAAGCCCTTTCCAGAACTCCGGAAGTATGCACAGCCCTAATAACGCCTAAGGCAGTTCCATATCCAGCTGTTGCCAGGCTGTTTAATTCAATGAGATGAAAAACATCAAAGGAGCTTCATAGTAGAATCCTTTACCAATATTTCTTAAAGTGGAAGCTGTTAAATGAAAAGGTACCTTCCAGTATTGCAATGAGTTAATATTGATATCTTCCTACTAGAGTCTGGTAGCTGATTTTGAAGAAGAGAAGCTCCATATGACCCAATTGCTTTATTGCAAGTAACATCATCCTTGAGCATAATTTCTGCAGCCTCAATATAAGCCTAAGATGAAGATACAATAAGTTAGATTTGAGTCATACTAATGCAGTAATGCACTATCAAGCACTCCCTCTGTCCCTGTTTTATGTTCTCATTTTGCTTTTTATATGGAGTTCAAGGAAATGAAATTGTGTGGTTGAAATTTACTTAAAAATAAAAGAATCATTATGGACCACACAATTCTTTCGTTCAATGGAGAGGGTCAGAGGGGAAATAGTTATTTTTGTTTGATCTTTTTTTTCAAATGACAGATATAATGAGCAAATATTATAACATAGAGTACCAACAATTTTCAACTCTTGGAGTAGCTGCTATATCGTCAAACTACATACAGCCGCATAACTACCTCAAAAACAGTTTTGGCTTCTGAAGCAGTGGAAGCTGCCTTCTTTATAACTTCATTAAGCTTTGTAGTGGCGTCTGAAAGATTCACAGCTGTTGGCCGGCTGCAAAAGTTTAATCATGTGAAACTCTGCTTTGTGATCCATTTAAAGTAGTAAGAAGCAAATAAAGTTCAAGCCTCAAGGAACTATACAGTAAAAAATTGCTCATTCCAGATAGTTACCTCGAGACAAGATATTCTAATTTCTGGCTGATGAAAGATACTGCATCTTGAGCTGTACCGTTAAAGGTCTCTAACTTAGACACTTCTACAGCCAAGGAAAGTGCAGCGGCTATAGCAATTGCAGGTGCACCCCGGACTACCATTTCTTTTATTGCATCCCTGAGGCATATATAAATATACAAATGAAAAATATTAATTTTGGAATCCAGAATAATATAAATAAATTGCAGGAATTTCTTCCAGTTCCTGTAAGTACAAAAAAAGTTGCAATAAATGTTAAAAAGATTACCATCCATCTTGCGCATTTTTTATATCCAGATAAATTGTTTCTAGTGGAAGCTTCCGCTGCTCATTAAGCATAAGATATTTCTTAGTAATGAAGGTGTACTCACATTCATATCCAAGAATGATAATGCATGTGTCCAAGGTAAATGCGGCCCAATTCTTTTGCCGCTGAGTTTTCGTGGCCACGAAGCACCGTAGGGTGGTAGTGGCTTCCGTGGACACTGAAAACCAGTGGCCATAGAACCCAACCTAGGTAAATGATATGCAACATCAACTTCCTTTTCAAATTTCAAACTTCATAAAACCTCATCGAAATATCTAATTCTAAAGCAAGTAAACTCTCTTCGACTCCTAGAAATTCAAAACCATTTCATTTTACTTTTCAGAATCTTTGTTCTTAGTTGAGTAAGACTAACTAGTTAGTAAAGTCAACTCTCTCGTTCGCCGCAGAATGGGTTGATTCACCCTTCAGAGTTTAGAATGTTTCTCTATTTGAGCTTTTCTTCTATCCCAGATAAAAGTATTTGGTTAACCCCATAATGTTTATCCTTATTTTTCGAGATAACAGAAGTTGCTTTTGAGTTTCGAAAATTATCCCCAAATCTGATATAGCCTAATTCTCAATGCATTTCAGTATGATAGAAACAAAAACTTTCAATCTTAAGAAAATCAGACATTTCCCATAAATCAAACTATTCAAGGAATCCAAGCCTAGATTCGTTCCCTTTGCTTTTTTTGGAAGATTCAAGTGCTACTCAAGTTTTATTCAAATCAAGCAGCTGAAGAACATCATGAATGAAATCTGAGAGATTAACAATCCGCTCAATAGAATAAGACACAGAATCAGCCACAATTCTAGCAAGAAGAGAATGAACAACTGGATTGACAAAGATGTAAAATCTCTCACAGCTAAAGCAAAAGAATTGATCTATTGTAAGGTATATCCACGTAGCGAAAGAAAGAAAGAAAGAACCTGATCAAGGAGCTGGAGAGAGCCGCGTTTGTAGCAGATGGATTGAAGAGTTTTATCTTCGGATTGAGCTCCGTTCGCCATTACTCACTTCAAAAGCCAAGTGTTAAAGCGAATCAAATCACTAGGGAAGAAGAAAGCATCTCCCTGCTTAAAAAAGATTCGGCAACAGTGACAGAGTCAATAACCAAATTGCACTACGTTTCAATTCAAGCATGTTGGGTCCCAATTTTGATTATAATTTTTTTAATTCATTCTTCTCGATAATTTTCGTTTGTTTATAAATTTTTATTGATTATATGATTAAAAAAAATACTCTTGATATCTCTTGTTAAATAGAATTTTCGACTTAATTTTTTTAATATGTAATTTTTATTTTTTATTAATATATCAATTTATAAATAAAATGATTTCAAAAATCGTGAGAAATTATCTCGTAATCCCAGATTTGTAATAAAAAATTGGGATGGAGGGACCATAAGAATCAATATAGTATTCATTCTAAAATAATGTAATGTTCATTTTCTCACGTTTGTTCATTACAACTATAACATTCATTTATGACCAACATAATGTTCATTTGAAAACAATTTACGAGTATTATTCATTCTGAAACAATAGAATGTTCATTTTGAAGCAAACAGAATATTTACAACATACATTTTTTATAAAAATAGAAGTATAAACTCGAATGTAAGAGAAAACAATTTTATTTAGAACTTAGAAGAGACCATACACACGCGTGCGCGGGCACACACACACACTTCCTTCGTCCTAGAATATTCGTCCAGTTTGACTTTTTTGAGTCAAAGTGGACAAACTTTAATTATAATAACTCTCAATTTACATTGCATATTAATACAATAGAATAGATGTTTGAAAGCCCAAAACAAATTAAATACGGGTATATTAAAATCATAATTGTACTAATATTCATTATAATTTTTACTTAATTAAGACTAAAAATTCATCTAGTTTAACTCGAAAAGGTCAAATTGAACGAATACTCTAGGATGGAGGTAGTATTATTTATTCTTAAAAGTCATACACAATAATAATACGGAGGGTGTATGTTACATGGCCGGTATGCTAAATGGGCAAAAAAACTACTCCTGAGTACCTCATATTTTGAGAATCTAACTGTCGGGTACCTCACATTTTTAAAATACATTCTTGAGTACTTCAAAATATATATTAACGAAGGAAGTTTGTCATCCTTTTTTCGTTGGTATTTAAATGGACGAAGGAAGTTTCCATTATGTCGCTATGAACAATGGAATGGAAAGACGGGTTAGGCGACGGATATATTCCATCGTCAAACGTAGCGACGGAAACAGCCACCAGTATTGAAATTCTGGCCATATGAGGACGAGAAAGTATTCCGTTGCCGTTTTGACTAATTCGTAATACCAAGCCTGTTTTTTACCATACCCATCAACAAAGAAATATGCCAAATACAATGCAAGCACAAACAAAGGAAATCCTCATATTGATAACACCATCATCACTAATGAATCACATTTAGACCAAATTCAATTCAAATTAGACCAAATTCAATAATAACTCATCACAATCTTATGTATTTATCAAATTCATGTAAGATTATAAATGTTTTCAGTTAGGAACATGTCAAGCTCCTGCATACCCTGTTCTTCTGTACCTCCATCACTATTTTCATTTCTTGGTGGGATAACTCCTCCATATAGCCGAGTCATCTCCTCTTTGATTGTTAGCAATTCACGCGCTTGAGATTATCTCATCTCTTCAAGCTCTTTCCTCAATTTTCTTAGTTCATCATCACGTAGGTCCCACATAGAGCTCGTGCCGGCACGTCTCGCCTGACTCTCGTGCATTCGTGGGAGGCTCCGGGCAAGATCTCCAATACCGCGTATAAATTACAGTACATGTTTTAGTCTTATTTAAATAAATTTTGTATAAAAGTATCCAGTGCTCCATCCTAATATAATTTACTTTTTGAGAAAGTCCTCTAAATAACACTCCATATTAAAGTAGTAGCAGGAGACACACTATGTGTGTGTTTGCCCAAGCATGTTTAAGAATGGTTTGCATTTAATAAGAGAAAAAGCATAGATCCATTTAATTTATTTTAAATGTCTGAAGCTAGCAGAGGCATAGAAGATTAGAGTAACAGCAGCATAGCAATGCATAATTTCTTTCGGAAAGTGGTTTGACAATATTTTGGATCCAAATCAAATAGCTTAGAAAAGAGCAAATTAAGTAGCAAACAACTCCCTCTATTCCTTCTACGATTAAACTATCATTATTCCAAAAAACAGAGCAAAGAACAAGAGATAAATAAAGAATGTCAATATGTTTTGGTTGGGATTTTAAAATAGTGTAGCAACCAGAATTATAAGTTTTCCAAAGCAGTAAAGGTATAGAAATTTAAAGACCCTAAGTTTTTGAAATTTTTTTGGTTATCAAGCAGAAGCAAACCAGAAAAGTCAGTTCAATTAATCACAAATAAAACAGAATTAAATAAATATACAGGCCGAGGTAAACCCTAAATTCTTAAAACTTGTCAATTCAATTAAAATTTAGCATTATCAATAAGATGTAAACCTAAATCTTAGAAATTTCAAAATCTAAATGAAATAAGGGGAACTGAAATAGAAATTAAAATAAAACATAGAAGAATTGAGGCTTTAAAAATTGAAAGTAAAAGTTGTGTTCCCACAAAGAAAAAACTGGAAGCTGAAATCTAAGCTTCATATCCATTTACCTATTGAGTTAAAAGAAATCGAAACAAAGCAATAACTTAATCAAAATCTAAATTGGACTGTACGTGTTATTACGAATCAAGAGCAAAGAGAGGAAAGAAAAAGAGGAAGGAGACGAAGGAGAGACACGCAAAAGGAGAAGAAGAGGAAAGAATTACCTGAATAAAGTGAAAAAGATTTCTTGCAGGAACAATAGTCCCAGAATTAGTCCAGTATTTATTAATAAGGTGAGGAAGACTGTGACTTGGGGCGGTGGCAGAGGTCGTGGAGCGGTGGCTGGTGGCGGTGTAGAAAGTGCAAGAAGCAAAGGAGAAATGGCAGAGGTCGTGGGGCGGTGGCTGTAAAATTTCGAAGACGGATAGTGGGATTGCCGAACAGGGAAGAAAAATGGCCTGGGGGGATTTGACGGAAAGTGAAGGAAAAAGGGTGACAGGAAAAGGGCCTATTTGACGGAGGGAAAGGGTATAGGGCCTTATAGTATAAGGGGGGATAATTTCTCCGTCAAGATTTATTCCTTTTTGGGAACTAATTGTCCACTTTCCGTATTCAATAAAGAAACTACTAGTTTCAAGTACTAGAATTGCATTGCTTATTGCATTTGCTAGGTTAATTCACGATCGCACTTGTTTAAGGAAAATGTATTTTGGTGTTGAGCTTCCAAAAATATCCTTGGATTTTGATCTTTAATAGATTTGATAAATAGATTAATAGTGAATAGATGTAATGTGATACGTATATTAAGTATTAGTATGAGTAAAAATGACTTTTTAGGGCCTGTTTGGGAATAGTGTTAGCGTTTTGGATAAAATTTTAACAGTGTAGATTATTTTGAAAATACTAACGCTAAACACTGCCTGTAGATAACCTTTTCAAAACGCTAATGTTAATGTCTAACGCTACTCTCAAACATGGCCTTAATAATAAATACTCCCTCCGTCCCCCTTTTGGTGGTTTTTAAGGAGAGTTGAAAAAAGGTGAAAGTTTACCATAATACCCTTAATGAAAATGGGTGGAGTGTATTAAATGAGGTGGGTGAGGTGTAATAAATAAAATAAGTGAGGGTAGTTGTGGTATTTTAATTGTTAAAAAATGAAATGAGAAGATATATTATTGACAAAGAAAAAGGGCTATTGGAAAGATCTATGAGATGAAGGGATTAATAAAAAATTTGAGACGGATGAAAAAAATGATAAAAAAAATTTCACGGATGAAGAGAGTAAAAGGGAAACCATAAATTGCACCTTCTATGTGGGCTGATAGCTTTTAATGATTTTATGCTTTTAAAGAGATCTCTGTTTTGATGGTTTAGTGGGTTTTAGTTTAATATATCCACTTCGTTTGGACATCGAATAATGCATTTTCGTCTTTTAAAAATGCCAAAAATTTATTTTTAAATGTTTGTTCAATTTAACATGTCTTTAAAACCGAAAAACTCACACGCATGGAACAATGTCAGTGTCCATGAACATCTGTGAGAACTCAAAAGGTAGTGTCAAAGTTGTGGTCAAATTTAGGGTACCCCTAGCATAATTCCTAAGTAGGCAATACACAACTAACACACACACACACAAAAGAAGACTAAGAACAAAACATTGTACCAATATTTTACAATGTTTATCTGCTATGCATTTGATGGTGTTTTACAGCACAACCCGAAGGTCATTCGACTACGTGCCACCCATCTCGACCCATCGTCCACTCAGAAAGCTCTTAACCATGGTTAAACACGTACGCAGATTTCTTCCCCCAGGTGGGGCCGCAGGTTCACCTTTGAGAGTCGTTTCGATCCATATTTCTTCTTTCCTTTTCTCTTGGCAATCCAACTGCTTCCATAGGGCAACAACCAAAGTATGTGTGTTTGCATGTACGAAATCAAATCACCTGTTTTGAAGAGCCTCGATTGCCTTTTTCCACTGCGACGCTCTCTGCTTGGCATCCTCAAAGGCCAAGATCTTCTTTGGCTGTACGTGGGATTCCAAACATTCAGTGCACCAGTTGAGATAATGTAATGGGATTGAATCGTGTAAAATGAGATAAACTTGGGGACTCACGGTGCAAATCTTGAAGTTTGAAGGGCTGGTGACTTGAACGCTGAGGTCATTCGGATTGTCGGACCATATAATGTTCCCTTTGACAACCAACTTTGACGGGTCTAAGTAAATAAGCTTCGGCTTGTTTGTGAGGATGAGCTGCACTTTCTTGTTAGCCAGCTTCTGTATCTTCTTAACCATGGAGATCATCAGTACTGACTCCCCAGGATCCAAAAACTGTTTCCTGTTTCCATGCAAGGGAAGAAGAAAAATGTAATCTTTTTTATAGGCTTTTTCTACCTTATAGTTTTAGGGAGAAACATAAGCGCACACATACCATTTCGAGTCGAAAGAATCAATTGAAGCTAGCCTTGTGATGCTACTGGCGGCAGCGGCTTCAGAAGATGATGATGAGGCTCCATCATTTGTTCCAGCTGAACCATCCCCAACATGTGTGGGATTCCACGACTCTTGATCATCGCCTCCACTGTGAAAGGATTGTGACTGAAAAAAAATGCTCAACATTACAAGTAGCTCAAACATTATTTTACATCCCTAAAAGAGGTTTTCGTTTGTTTTTCACGAAGTTAAAAAAAAAAAAAGTAAAACTGTATAATGGAAGTTATGAACCCATTATTTCTTTCCATAAATGATATCCATAAATGATATAAAAACTTCTTTTTGGGACAGCTGAAGAAGTTCTTTTAGAGACGGAGAGAGTATTATAATTAAAGAAAGAATATTGAGGTGATTACTATAATTTGAGAGAGGGTTTCCTACTTTTGGATCCAAAGCTAGCCGCGGAGGGGTTTGAGCCCTTAAATTTTCCCAGTCAACCCCTCGAAAGAAAGGATGGTTTTTAAGTGAGGCATAGCCATCTGGACCTGCACCAGGTCTTCTGCTAGGATCAATGTCCTGAGATATTGTTTGTACAAATAAGAAGTTAGGCAAATGATGATCATACAACTGAATGCTACTCCGTATTTCATGTCATTTTGCACTCTGAAACAAATAAACAGTTCCCAACAATATAAACAAATCAATGCTTCAGCTAACCCCATTGATGAGGATAGGTAAATGCACACTCACATACGCCCATACATAAATACATGTCTTTGTATATATGTGCGTCTGTATGTGTGTGTGTGTGTGTGTGTATCCACACGCCCACTTACAGATACATAAGGGGACGCATAGAAACACTCATATGAAATAATGGAGCTTGAGGAACATGCGAATTTTGATTGCTTGAAGAGAAAGAAGGAAAGATAGAAGGACGAGAAATCGACTTTCACTACATCCAGATGTAGTTCATTTTCTAAAAAAATCTCTTTTTTATAAGAAATGAGTTTAAAAAGTCAAATAAGTCCTTGAGTTTTTCACTCGTCAATATTCATACCTTATCTCTAGGATTTTTTTAGACCATGCATTGTAATTCCTTTATGGTGTGTTTGGGAACAAGGAATTGAATTTGAATTCTACAATTGACTCAATTCCAATGTTTGGCCAAAGAATTTGGAATTGGAATTGGAATTGGGTCAATTTCATGCATATTCCCCCACAATAGTAAAATAGCTCTCTTTAAATGACTACCATTGCCTAGTCATTTGAATTTCAAGCTTGCTCTTTCCTCAAACATAAGCCATTTTTTCATGTGCTACTTTCTCTCTCTTTTTTTTCTTCCTTTAGTTTCTCTCTACTAACCTCTCACACACTCTCTCCCCACCGTAAATGAGGATTCTTGAATTGAATTCTGGGAGTTCTGAAACAACCATTTGGAATTGCCAATGGGAATTAGAATTCAATTTTTTAATTTCAATTTATAGAATTGAATTTCTGAATTTCAATTCAATTCTGTGTTCCCAAACGCAACCTTAATGAATATGAAAAGTGGACAACAGATTCCAAACAAATGGAAACCAGAAGGTGGACAACCAAATCCGGACGGAGGGAGTACTTTATTTCTTCTCACACCCTCCCACCTCTCTTTTGTTTTTCTCTATTTCTCTTCTAAGCCAAAGTGGTAATGAAGTGAAATCTTAGCTTACCAACAGCCGATCAATAAGATCTCTCGCTTCATCAGAGAAGTAGTTCGGAAATTCGATATCTCTGGCAATGATTCTTTGAAAAATGAGCCATTCACTAGCACCTTTGAAGGGAGTTGTCCCTGAGAGCATTTGATACAATGTGCAGCCAAGTGCCCAGAGGTCATTTCTAATATAGCATGTCAAACAGATTGTTAGGTGGGGAAATCTGAATAAACTCAGGGTCCGTTTGGAAAAAAGATGGACAATGATTTCTTGAAAATGAGTTCTGAACAAATGACTTCTTGAAAATAAATTTATTTTCTGAAAATTTGGAAAATGAAAAAAAAAAACTAGTTTTTGTTGTTATAACATAATAAGATGTGGTTAGTTTTGATTTGAGAAGTAAAAGAATGGTGGAAAACGTCTACTGCAAAAGAAAACGGAAACCATTTTCCTCCAAGTAAGGTTCATTTTCTGTCGACTTCAAAAATCATTTTCCTCTCCCAAATGGGCCCTTAGGAGAAATCCTGAATTGCATGTAGTCTACTGAAAAGAGTCAGTCGCATACCCAAAAGTTGCAGGTGAAGAATTTAAAACCTCTGGAGGGACATAAGCTGCTGTTCCCACAAAGGTGCAAGCCTTATCATCTGGAAAAGATTTTTTAAAGATAAAAGATTCAGCTAAAGTGACAATACCATATTGTCACTGTTTAAGAAACATTTTTTGTAATTTTACCCGAGGCGGCATTTGGTAGTACTGTTATTTGACTGTCTTGCATGGGCTTAACACTGCCAAAGTCCGCGATTTTGATGTGCCCGTCTGCAGTAAGCAGCAGGTTCTCTGGCTGTCAATTATAAAACATTTCATATATATTTGTATCACGGAAAATGCCTTAGGAAGGTGAGAAAGGAAAGGAGAACGACATATAATTAGTTTTAAATTTTCACCCACAGATGTAGAACATTTAGTCTTTAAATGACAGGCATAAATAAATAAATCATAAATGAGTATCCACAAGTATCTAAAAATAAATAAATTCAAACACCACTGAGTTTAAGCCTATCATTTACTCTTCCCTATATTTTCAATCCTTCTGATTTTCCAAAGTATTTATCGAGATTCCAACAGGACCCTTGGCATCCTTCATAAAGTTGTAAATTTCCCAGTCTAGAGACCACACTTGCCTTAGGTGTCTAGGTATCCCCCCCCCATGGATCAACCAAACCCCAATCGATCCCCAACTAAGTGCTAGGTAGGGGTAAGGTCTGTGTACGCGGACACCCATGTGGGACCTTACAAAGTTGTTGTTGTAGGTGCTAGGTAACATTTTTTTAGAGATTTCTAAATGCCTCATTATCTCGTACTCCCTACATTCTAAAAAAGTTTCGAACTTTCATTTTCCATTCTTCCCAAAATAGTTTTCACTTTTTTTTTCTTCCCCTTTTTTGGAAAAGAATGTGGTTCAAGATACTTCTCTCTTCTAAACAAATTTTAACTACTCACTTTTCAATATCATTCAATTTTCACAACTTTATATCATCTTTTTAACATTTTTCCTAATCTCTCTGAAGTCAAAGTAAGAAAACTGATATGCGACAGAGGGAGAGTCATCGATATCGAAATATACCTTAATATCTCTATGTATTAATCCCATGCTATGTATGTATTCAAGAGCATCTACAACTTCTGCGGCATAGAAACGAGCGTCACCTTCTGGCAGGCGTCCTTTCTGCACCCACAAACTTTAGAAACAGGAAATGCAAGGGAAAAAACATCTGCTAAGGTCATCAAAAAATATGTAAAGTGCAACTTCATTTTCCATGAATAAAGAAAATGATGCACAAATACGATGCTTTTGGTATTTAAAAAAAGGTGAGGGTTTATTGATGTGTGCAGCAAGCAATTTCTTAGGCCTTGTTTGGGAATAGTGTTTTCACGTAGTGTTCGCGTTTTGGAAAATTTTTTAATGGTGCATCTTAACTTTCAAAATGCTAAAGCTAAACGTTGAAGTTATATAGCATTTTCAAAATGCTAGTGTTGACAGACAGGGCCTTAATATCAATTGTCCATTATGCTGACTCTTCCATAACTATAATTAGGAAACTGAATTCATGACCGTAGCTACATCAACAAATGTTTTAACCATTTTTCATTAACAAGTGAGTCATAATCCCAAAAATGTTGGTTTCACGAGATGCTCTTTGTTGCAACCTTCTTAAAGAGGAATAGTGAGATGAATTTCAAAACCGTCAAAATATCGTGGGGGTTTTGCTTGCATGAGAATTATCATGAGATGAAAATTAGGTAAGACACTTGTTACGGAGAAGCCCAATACAAAATTTTTACTCTCTGTCCCAAGATTAAGTTTCCACTGATTTCAAAAAAAATTAAGTTTCCACTTTTCTTTTTGAGATGTCTCAAAATAAAGTGTGCCTTCTTTTTATGGAATGAATTGTGTGGTACTGTGGTTAATACAGAGTACTATCTATCTCCGTCGCATAAATCTCTACCACACAATTTCACAAACTTAATCTCCTTGAAAAACAAATGTGAACTTAATTTTGGGGCATATGAAGTATTGTTGTAAAATCAACATGAGTCATGGAACACGAACATAACAGGATAAAGGAGAATCTCATTGAAAACTCCACATTAAAAAGAATTCCAGCAAACTATAAAACAAAAACAAGTTAATATTCAAACTAGCACCAAAAACTTGAATTGAAAAAGATTGATACTGGGCATTTTATCTAGAATAGTGAAGTTATACTCACCCTAGTTATCTGATCAAAAAGTTCTCCACCTTCACAAGACTCGAGAGCCATGTCTTCACAACAAAACAAAATGCACTTCAGATTAGCAAAAAACACAACAGCAACCACAAGAACAATCCAGTATAATTCCAACTTTGTTGGGGTTTGAGGGTCAAGATTCGTTATACCCTTCATGCATTGTTGCATTTACAATCCAAAACCTAATACTCCCTCTACCTCGCAAGGTCATATTTTGACCATTTTCCTTTCTTATTTTTATGACTCATTTGATGAAATAATATTTTTGTCACCTCTTGTTTTGTAGACTTTTTTATGTAGCTTCTAAATATATACAAATTCTATTTTTTAATTTTACCCCAGTTATCATATGAATTGAATTGAAAATAACTCCAATTAATTATCAAAACCCTCAACAGGAAAGTCTTGGAAAAAAAGCTAGGGGAACCCTACCTTTGACACCACTTTGACACAGTTGCTCGCAAACACATAGACAATTATTGTTTGTGAGAAACTATGGTGTCAAAAAGGTGTCAAAGGGTGGGGTTCCCCTAGAAATATCCAAAGTCTTTTTGGGACGAAGGGAACAGAAAGAAAGAAGCAATCAATGTGCAATTTGATTTAGTCCATTATTTGCTCAAAGGTAAAACATTGTCAATAAAGTCTCTTTTAGCTCCATTGGTAATGCACAATAGATGGCAAAAAATGGCCATTATAAAAAAAATGCATGATGGGATGGTGCTGCTGAATGAAGTTTTGCTAAAATACTCACATAGTGAAAAGGTGTCCTGAAATGTAAAACATAGACGCACAATGCCAGGATGGTCTAGCTGATCAAGTACAACGCGCTCCAATTTCACATATGCAATCTTATTTTCCTTGGAGATGAAGTTTTTGTCCATGATTTTCATGGCATAAACATTTCTAGTATCTTTCTTCTTAGCTCTAACAACCTGATGATTATAGGTTAACAATAAGAATGAATCAGCACTATCAGAGTATCAGTGCACGCTCAAAATAGTAGCTTGAAGAACAAGCCATAGTAATTGAGTTGAATACTCCCTCCATCCCTTTTTTATTGCCCCATTTTAACTTTACAAAGAATTTAAGAAATGAGATTTTGTATGATTGAAATTTATGAAGGGGGAGAGAAATCATATGGAGAATACAATAAAACAGAAGTGATACAATAAAAAAGGAACGAAGAGAGTATAATCGTATATCAACTAGACTATTCTCCTTATTCCAAGAAAAATAAGGTGGAAAATGATTCCCCAAAAATATTTTTCTGCAAATATTGTTCTATGTATAATACTCCCTTCGTCCCAAATTAAAAGTCCACTTTGACCGGACACAGAGTTTAAGAAAATTGTTGAAAAATATGGTTGGACCAAAAATAACTATGCTCATCTGAAGAAAGGAAATGGACTTTGATTTTTGAACGGATCAAAAAAGAAAGCGGGCTGTTTATATTGGGACAAACCATAATAACATGCAAAACAAAAAGGCAGGACAAATGAGAGGAGCACGAAAGAAACAAGCGTACAAGTTGATACAACAAGCTAAGGTAGCAAGTCCTACGTAGAAGTAGATTACTACCCAATAGCCTACCCTACCACCTTAGTCTTAGACCTCCAAACTCTCCTATCTAAGGTCATATCCTCGGTGAGATCCTAATGTTGTAAGTCATGCCTAACACATCTTTCCAATTCTTCTTAGGTTTACCATTGTCCCTCCTCATGTCCCCTACCTGGAGCATCTCACGCCGCCTCAGTGGAGCATTCGTACATCTCTCACTATGTGTCCAGCCATCTATGTCTAGCTTCATGCAGTTTATCCAGAGGGGCCACCCCCACTTTCTTCCAAATATCTTCGTTTGGAAACCTTATCCATCCATGTATGACAACACATCTATCTCAGCATCCACATCTCTATTACTGAGAGCTCCCGAACATGAGTGTTCTTAATTGCCTAGCACTCCGCCCCATACAACATAGTTGATATGTGATCATTGCACGGTAAAACTTTACTTTCAATTTAGTAGATATGTACCGTGTACGATGGGCAACGATCTGCAGAAGGTAAAGTTTCCTATTGATAATTACCTAGTACTTTCTTATCGACCTCACATCCATATAGTTTAACAAAAAAATGGAACTGCCTAAAGAAAATGAGTTTAGCTGATTCTATGTCACTTAACCACGATTGTAATTCCTTATGCAGGAATTTAGTAGATTAACTTTATATTTTGTCAAAAAGTCAGTGAACCAATTGCACGCGTTCTTGCTTGGGTGCCTGATTCTGTGGCCGATATGGTGGAGTGGGTCTCTACCCCTCCAACCTTCAATTCTGATGTACTGTTAACAGATTTAGTTTAATGTGATGATGATGATTTTATTATTAAAAAAACCAACCAAAAAAGTTCAAATAATCATTGAATATATTTTCCTGCAGGCCAAACAAAGAAAGTTCAGAAAACATTCCCAAGAAATATAATTTTCTAGAAACAGACGTAGCCGGTAGCTCAAATTATTGGCTATAATAATTCCTTAATCACAAGTTCTTAGCTAACGGTGTGAGAAAACATACTGATAATTGTAGCCTGTGGGTAATAAGCACCCAAAACAATTCATTATATTCACATGCTCACCAAAGTGAAGAAAGTGAGAAGAAAACCAGGGTGAGCGGATGGGGAATTATGATGGGTGGAAAACTTCCCGCCATAAACCACCAATCTCCCATACCCTGCCATTCTAAACAAATTTCATATTATGTAAACCACTTCCAACCGCCATGGATGGAAGCCATTTGACAACACTTCTGTAGCATGTGTTTTCAAGAACAAAAGCAACTGCCCTGGTAGTGGTGTGTTGGTGGGGGGGGGGGGGCTTTAATGAATATGTTATCCCTTAGTCCCACCATAGGGTAGCAGTGTAGCACTCAAGATTGAAGAAGTTTACAGTTCACCCCCTTTCCGAGCGCGTGAAATTTCTGGCAAAAACATTTCTCCAGGCAATGCAAAGAATAATAACAGATGACCACAACAGAACTTCAATACTACAGTATATCCACACCATTCCCCCATTGAAGTACTACAAATGGGAATGATAAAAATACCAATCTACAATGAACAAACTCAATCTACTAGGAGAGGGACTAAAACAATGAGAATAAAAAAAAGGTCAAGAACCATAGGATTAAAAAAACTGACCTTGGAATAAGAACCAACTCCATAGATCTTTCCCAATTCAAAGTCTTGGATGGAGAAGTTTTCCTGGGGAGCTCTGAATGTAAAGCTTTTGGATCTCTGCGGATTGGATGGACTGTTCTGAAGCTCCATTTCAGATCCTCCTTCCCCAACCATTTCCAACATTTCACCTCAACAAGCTATGCAAAATTCTTCTCTCACTCTACAATTCGGGTGGGGGTGGGGNNNGGGGGTTTCTTTCTCTCTTTCTCAAATTTTTGAAAGGTGGGTTGGGTCTTCACAGACTCAAATCAGATCATATTATCCATACATAATCCACATGCATCATACATGCCACATTTAAAAGGTTTCTTGCCCTATCTGTGTCTTTCTTTGAGAAACCAATCTGATAAAGCAAAACCCAATCTGTCAAAGACGCCCAAAAGCAGATGATTCCCTAGATATGTGCGTCTATATGCAAATGACAAAGGAAAATGTATGAATTATCTGAAAAAGGCGTGAGCTTTGGGATTAATATTCACTACTCCCTGTTTCTTTATCTCGTGACCGGAAAAGGGCAAGTTCAGAACATGGAGAATGAATGGCAAGAGCCACATATGCAATGCCTATGTGTGTGGGGTGGGTAGGGTGCGGAGATCGAATTGCACATGACTACGTGAGAAAGAATGATGGGTGACATGTTTTCTTGCTGTTTTGGAATCCGGATCTATTAGGGAGAACCAGCCATTACCATTGAAAATTTGAAATCCTAGGGGGTCTATTTACAGGAATTTATCGTACATTGTTTAATGTGGTACTCCGCATGTCTGTGCATACGGAAAAAGAGGAGTTGTATATGGTACATACGAATGTACATAGGTACATCCCGGTAGTACTCATTCTGAAATAAAGTAGTACTCATTCTCGTACAAATATAAATATTCATTTCAAAATACGTAGTACTCATTCTGCCAAAGGTAGTACTAATTTTAAAACAAAGAAGTACTGATTTTTACATATTTGTCTAATATAATTATAATAAATAGCGTAGTGTTCATTCTTAGAAAAAACAATACTCATTCTCAAATAAGGAAATGTTCATTCTGAAATAAAGTATTGTTCAATTTTTTCACAATTAAAAAGTTCAGTACCATCATCAACTTCTTACTCTATTCGATTTGTTCATACTCATTTATACTCTCTCAGCATGGAGATTTTAAAACCCAGGTTTATTCATGTTTGTATTGAATAAGAATATGATAATTCTCATAAATGCCGATACTCCTACTCAAATCTGCTGGTACTCATTGTCATATATAATAGTTCTCATATATATTCTGGGCATTGGATAAAAAGTTTGTAAAATTTACAAAAATACCAGGCTGTACCTAAAAGAAGGTACAGGTGGATGTACCATATAATTTGCGTAAAAAGAGGGGGACTTTGGCGGCTTTTATTCTAACTTACTCCGTATTTTTTTGGGTTTATTATTTATTTTGATTAAGATTATATTAAATCAGATCAGATTCAATAAAATTTACTAACTGTTATTGTTATCAACTAGTATGAAGAGATGAATCGAGTCACGAAGGAACATGTCTAGTAACCATAAATACAAAAAATCTAAAATGTAACAAATCTATCACATCTCTTCCATTCCTTTTGTCTCAATGAAATATTTCCCTTATTTGTATGCAAGAGATTGTAGAAGGATAACAAAAAGAATTCAGCTCAAATTCGTAAGTTCACTACATGTATTTATTAGTATGTTTTTTATTAGTGGTTCGTACATACCCCATTTGCAGGGATACTGAAGTTGCTGAAAAATCAAAATTGCTTTATATATTTTGACTAAATGGGCTTTTATTGCACAATTGTTGATAAATTTCAACACAGTATAGCAACAATTGGCAGATACTTTAAAAGTGTGATGAGCTTTTGTTGCGCTATCCACGAAGTATATCAAACGTTTTCAGGAGTTGAACGAAATTTCGTATAAAGTACGCAATAATTCAAACTACTGATCATTTTTTAAAATGTCTTTATTCCTCACTTTTAATTTAAGTTTTTTAATAATAAGTCGACAAGTATAATATAATAAATTGATTTAGGATTGTGTTGGAGCTTTGAAGGGACTCTTATTGAAGCAACTATATCATATGAAAAAAGGTTTACCATTTCGAGAATGTAAATGAAATAAAATAAAGAGTGTTTTGGCTTCATGTTCAATTTTTCTTAATGTCAAATTCGAAAGTAGTGCTCATAGCATAATCGTGTGGAACCATAGCTTCTTTGAACCAAAATTTTGGTTTCTACACCCACCACCATGTATCATGCAATTAGGAGTCGGAGGTAGTGCTCGGCACAACTTTTTTATTTTTTTTAAATTTTGAAAAATACTATTTGGTGGATTCTAGATATCTGAATTGGGAACACTCTTGGATATCTCAGTCGAATAAGACATGAAAATATTAGATATTGCATGTCTGAGTTCTGCAGATCAGAGGCCCACCACCCAATGGGAATCTCGAGCATTTTAATTACAAAACACTCGTCGTTGCTAGGGTTGTTCGTTCGAATATATCCTATTTGATATGATTTTTTAGATATCTGAAATTTCTGGATCGGTAAATATCTATTCCATGTCTGATCTGAAAATTACCGGACACCCAAATAAAACATTATTGACAAACAAAAAATGAACAAAAAGACTAAAGTAAAAATGTTGAATTAAGCTTAGATTTAAATATTTGTGATGATTAAAATGAATTGGTCTTAAGTTATCTTGGCTCTACTTTTATATTTATTTATTTTTTAAATATGAACTTTGGATATCCAAAGATATTCAAAATCTTAATATGTTATTCCATATCCGATTCGTATTTTTTCTGATATCCTATCCGAAACATCCAAAAGCTAAAATATCATATTAGATTTCCACTTTTTGGATTAGATCGGCCCGGATCGTGAACGGATATTTTAGATCGGATATTTTTTAACACTCTTAGTCGTTGTGCACAATAATTGACAAATATTTTGAAGTGTTAAAAAGTGATGGATGATTTTTAAAATTCTGCCATCAATAGAAATTGAATATCAGTTGGCTATAATGATGCCAACATTTATACTTCATAATTGTATTCAACTTCACAATCTCATCATCTCATAGAGTTGACTTTGAACCGCAAAGTGATATTACCATGTTTAACTTAGAACACAAGTCCGAAATGGATAGAGTGCAACTTAATATAGCAAAACAAATTTAGGATTCAATCAGTATAGGTTAAAAGAATATGAGTATGTAAGATTTTATGCGATGAATAATTTGTAGCATGCAATAAATTTTTGTTGAACACTTGTAGCATGCAAAATATTATTATGTAAGATGGAGAACAAATGTAATATTTTGTAGCATAACATTTGTCTTTTCTAATGATAGGATATTTTAATAATAATACTTTCTCTTCCCTATATTAAATATTTAAAAGTAAATGATTAAGCTTTTAATTTTTAGTTATTTTCAATGATTTTTTATTTTAATGTATATATGAATTGATTACTTTTATTTCATATATATAATAATCATAGAATAAAAGTTACTGACTGTATTATAATATGAATGATCATTATAAGTATATGTAACTGACGTTTGTTTTTTTTCAATTCGGGAGAATTGATTTTTCTATTACAAAATAATTGAAACTAATTTTTGTTTTTGAAAAAATACTTATTATTGATTCCATGTGTATGATTTTGTTGGATGTTGAGAGTCTTGAGAGTGAGTTTAAAAATTCAATGACTCCCTTCCATACTTGCCTTGTAATGAAAAACTATAATCAAATTTGTGACGGAGGGAATATAAAAGAGTTTCATTATATCTTTAGAATTTAGATGTAAAGTAGATGTATACGCATTTGAGTGGCTTCGAAGCATACCTTTTTTTACCATTTCACGCATTGTTGAATTAGGAATGCCCATTGCATCAGCCAATGATCGGATATTTGTCCTCATACGAAGAGGAATATTCGATATTGAGCTTAAATCCACAAAAGTACATTTCCTTCCTGCATTACCTTGCAACCTACTGTCCACGTTGATTGGCAAACCTTCCTTGATTTGTTTCTTAGCTCTTCCCAATATGGATGAAATAGTTTTTTCGTGAAACATTGTAGGCTGCTCCAATTTTGTTTACCATGCCTTCTTGAGCCACAAGTTCCCCGTTTGCTCTTTGTGTTGAATGTAACATTAGCTCATCGACAATAGATTGTCTCTATGAGTTCGTAAGACATTTGTGGACTAAACTTGAAGTGTTTTCATTTTGCAAGGTTCACCAAAAGCCCCTTGGGCAGCAGGATGGGAGAGAGACTAAAGTTGTGCCAAAAGGGAGGGTTGCTGCTCACCCAAATTCTTGGCAGAAAAGGCTGGAGATTGTTGGAGAGGAGATGATTCAAAAGAAGGCAAAAGGTGAAAAAAATGATGCGAAGAATCCATGAGGGAATGGAAAGAATGAGAGTTAGAGTGACTTTTTATTGGCTTAAGAATGAAAAAAATAGTGGGAACATGAAAATATAATGGGGGGGGGGGAAGAACTTTTTTTTGTAA